ACCGTTGTTACAAAGGTTGGCTCATTTCCCTGATTGCAGACTTCAAGTGATGAAGTCGTGAGGTATTCTAAAAGAGACTCGCCCCGCCTATTGGTTTCACTGCTGCCCCACAAAATGTGGTGCGCGTTTGCGTCACACCCAATGACAGTTCTGGTCTTAGACGCCTTACAGTGCTCCACAAAATTGCGTAATTCACTTGGAGGCGGTTGTCCTATTTGGTCGTGTGGCAGGTTTGCAGATGCCAGAACTAATGTTCGGTCCCCGCCCTTCGATTTAAGTCTTATTTTTATACACGTAAGGTCCCTACTACAGTGTTTCCATAACGGTATAGCTCTAACTGTATTCCTTATGAGAATACATGTACGTGGGTTTTCTTCAGATTGGCAGTAGACTATTTGTCCTCTGAAGTTCCCCAATCCTCCAATTCTCCCCTTATATACATACGGTTCTGGTTGTTTGGCTAATTATGGGGGCAGCATAGCATATTTGCGACCTGATTACTTGCTTGTAGAGCAGAGTTTTGTTTTTAAGAGTGAGTTTACTTTTCTGGTTTTAAAGAGGGTAAAGGATGCCGGCTGTTTGGCTTCCTTTGGTACGCCTGTTCTCACTGTTTGGTAGGTTTTTGTAGGCTCGTCTCAGCCTTCGATGTATTTGTATGGACCTGGGCTCTGTTGTGATTTTGGTGCTCCAGCTGTGCGCCTGAAGAATTGCTGCTTCAAGATCGTCTGTTGCCTGTTCGAATTCTTCTACATTTGCAATTACAGGGATGCTGACTAGGTTGTTCACTTGTCGCTTAAACTGTTTCCAGCAGGTTTGGCGTTTAGTGGTTGTGTCAGTTTTTGAGCCATCGTTTATCGCATTGATAGTCGTCAGATGTCCAATGTTTTTTAGGGTTGCAACATCCAGCACTTCTGGGAGTCCTCGGCCAGCTGGTAGGTATGTAGGCTCTTCTGGGCCTATAACCACTGCTTCCTGTGCTTCGGCCATATCGGTCAGTCTTCTGCCTCTATTGTATTTTCTGCTATTCCATGCAGGGTTTTTATAATTGAGATCGCCAATTATGATTCTGGGTTGCTGTCCTCTGAGTAAGTCGGCAATATCTTCCGGGTCTACTTGGTCCGAAGGGGGTTTGTAGATTGAGGTTATCTTTAGCTGTTCATGTTGCATGTTTATTTCAACTGTGACTGCATCTAACTCAGTGTCATTGACTGCTATGAATTGGTGATCTATTTGTCGTTTAACGAGGATTCCTGCACCTCCATGGTTAGGGTTGGGGTGATCGTATCTATAGAGTGCATAGTTCTGGAAAGTAGCTCTGGTTGCCTTTGGTATCCGAGTTTCCTGTAACGCCATTACGTCTGGGCTATTAATCTCGCTTAGGTTAGCAGTAATTTGGCTCAGGGTCCTACTTTCCAGGGCGTTGTTGGTGTTGTCCTTTGTTGCTTTGCGTGTTACTGTCCGTTGCTGTGTTTGTGACTTTTTTCGTGGGTACATGGGGTACCCTTTCCAGTTGGCTGGATGTCCGGCTTCATCGCAAAGCCCACATTTGGCGTTTCTCTCGCCCTCGCCGGGTTTTCGGACAGTGCAGTGGGATGCATCGTGGTCCTCTGAGCACTTAACGCAGTGCTGTTTATAATGGCAATTTGATTGCGCATGACAATATCTCTGGCACTGATAGCATTGCTTGAGTCCCTTTTCCTTGCGCTTGATCTCCACTCGAATGACCAGATGGTTGAGTCGGGTGACATTAAATATTTTGTTATTTTTCGTCTTGGCCATGATGAGTGGTAGCTTCTGTTGGTTTTTCTACTGGTCATGGCATGCAGCGTGGCTTCAATGCCCATGCTCTCCAGCTCACTCTCGAGTGCAGATAGATCACTGTCTGTGGGTAGCCCTCTTATGACTGCATAGGTCAATTTTTCGTCTGGGTGGGAGTAAGTATGGTACTCCTTTTTCCCTTCTAGGGCCTGCGTTAGTTTGTGGCAATCTGCTGCGGTTTTCGGGTACATCCTGTATCCCTCTTTAGTCATCGCTGATTTTTCTAAATTGATGCCTTCGTTTTCCAGATGGGCTACCATCTGGGTCCATTTCTCATGGCCCTTGACATTGACCGGCGGGATTTTGCGTGCTGCATCTGCATAGTTGCTTGGCTTGTTGGGGTTTTCCACCTCCATGTCTGTCTCGGATTCTATCACAGTCTCTAATCCCGCTTTTTTGGGGACAGGGACTTCGGCCGAATCGTCTTCAAATTTCCTCTTGTTGGATTTTTCTGGCAGGGTTGTCTTTTTGGAGTCTGTAGGGGCCACTTTTGTTGTCCTTGCGTCTATTTTCATCGATGGCCGCTTGTTGTCTGTCATGTTGGCTTTTCTGCCATTTTCGCGCATTTTCAAGCTCTGCATGTCGTTTCTCAGAGCCGTTATGGACTCTCGCAGCTCTCTCACCATTAGCATTAGTTCCCTGTTGCTCTGTGAGCGAATCTATTTGGCGATCCTTCGCCTTAATCAAGCTTTTCATGTCTTGATTCATTGTCGTGTCTTTCTCTAAGCACTGTCAGGGAGCGATCCGTGCTATATGCACCGCACACACGATCCGTGCTATATGCACCGCACACACGATCCGTGCCTAAGGCACCGCGATTGTCGATCCGTGCTACTGCACCGCGCACACGATCCGTGCCAAACGCACCACTATTGTATGATCCGTGCAAATGCTCCGCGATTTTCCGCACTTGGGTAATTTCAAAAATTCCACGATCACGATGCTATTTGAACATATTTATACTGCTACTTATCAACGAGACCTTAAATCTAACATCTTTATAGTGTCTAACACTCTATGTAAACTAATATATTACATCGTATGACACCCTCCGCAAGATTTGCAAGACCTGAACAACTTAACAGCCTAAATTACAGAAACCATCACCTCAGCACTCTCAAAAGCCACAATCCTAAAGCCAAATTCTAACAAAAACGCTTTTTCTCTGCCGCCTGGGCTCCAAACTCTTATTAAAAACAGTAACCGGCTAAAACGAAGGGCTAAGCAATTCACCGACTCAGAGCTTAACAAGCAGGCAAACAAACTAAGCAAGGAAATTAAAATCTCAAACGTAAGAAACAAAAGGTGGACATAACTTTTGGAAAACCTCCCAACTGGCGACCCGCGCGCCTGGAAAATCTCCAAGCTATGCGAGGAAAAATAAAAACGCACTTTCTCCCTATTCATGGTGAACCTGGAAAATCAAAATTAATTCAGAAAATTCAGATTATGTTTTCTTTCTTCGTTCGTTTATACTACACTCTTCGCTCTTAGTTCCACAAACTCCCGAAACCCACACCCCAAACCCACCAAGGCTCTTGCAGGCTTGCAGTAAGGACGAAATCCTTGAATAGCTATGTCTATTAAAAAACATCAAGTCACATCCAGCAATCAACATGTAAATAACTCTAGTAATGCAGCAGCTTACCGTCTAGAACATCTATCATGGCACTGAGGCACACAACAAGGTCTTAAACTCATGTTTTAATAAACTATTTATCGCAGAAAGCAATAAACTTTGCAAGAAACAGCGCTTTTCTCTGATACCAGAAAGACGCCTCGCAAAAGCTGCAAATCAGCGTTTTTGAAATCAGCACCCAGGATGTAATCGTCGTCATGCCGCCCTCTCGGGATGTCCAGTTCATTTATGAGTGAGTTGCGTTGTATGCAGCAGTAGGTGGCGTTGACTGCAATCAAACTCTTGTTCTGACCTTGAATATTTGCGCCGGCGATACGCATTTAGGCGCCTCGCTTCTTGCGGGAGGGTGCGCTTAGGCCCGCTTGCACCGTTGAAAATAAGCTTGGCTTTTCCATTAAGCTCAGCTTTAAAATTAAATTGGTTTGCACCACATTAAAAACCAGGCTTACAGCATTCAAAGCTCGGTTTAAATTAAGCCGTCAACTTTGGTGGCTTATGGTATTAAGCCGTGAATTCTAACCTTCATTTAGTCGAAT